GCACCAAGCTCATGGTATGTCCACACAGCAATATCATTTTGAAATAACTTAGTCCACATCTACAGAGCAGGCAGTTATTTCAAAATAATGTTGAAATACTGTCAAGCTAGAGGACTTCGTACTCCAACTCCTGTAACCCTCATTATATGAGGAATAAGGGAAGTCAAAGGAAGAATGCTCTATTGCAAAATAAGTGCTATGTAGAAGGACTCATTTACACCAGGCCCCCACATGGCTAAAGGACAAAACAGTGAGGCTATGTCTACACTCATGGCTTCTTGTGCCAGAAATATGCAAATGAGGCTAAACATGAAATATTGCTGAGCCTCCTTTGCATACCTAATGAGCCACCATTTTTGCAGAAGAGGTTCTTGCACCAGAAAAATGGTGGCTCATTAGGTATGCAAAGGAGGCTCAGCAATATTTCATGCTTAGTCTCATTTGCATATTTCTGGCACAAGAAGCCATGAGTGTAGACATAGCCTCACTGTTTTGTCCTTTAGCCATGTGGGGGCCTGGTGTGAATGAGTCCCATTCCACAATTCTTATTCCTCATTTGAGGAATATTTTTCCCAGTATTTTACAAGGTGGGCTACAATAGCCCTCTTCAAACAAACCAAAGAAACACAACACACAAAGAACATTCCTCTTCTTGCCTCCTGGCTAGGGCATTCCACACACACACACCCCTCTAATTCTAGCACTTATAAAGTCAATTGGCTTGGTTGCTTTCCCCCCCAAAGGGAGGAAAGCTCCCTTCCAGCTAGAAGCCTTTTCTCTTTGTTATTAGTAGCCTGCTGCAGCTTGTCACCCCATCTCTCTCTCTCACCAGAAGAGGGGTTTTTAAAGATCACAGGCAGCCTTCAATTGGACTTAGGTGTCCCTAATTGACCTGAACTGCAACAACCTCTTTTCAGTTCCTGGGGAAAGGGGTAACTCTCTCACTTGTTATTTTTTCCTGCTGTCCCACATACTTAACTTGTGTGTATCAGGCTCAATGGATCCTCCCCATAGGCTTGTGCCCACCCACTTCCCTGGAACCCAAAATGACCCTCTCTTTACAGCTCTCCAGTCTGACTTTATGAAGTTTCTTTTTGCCTTTCTGGCTGTGTCTAGACTGCATCCCTTTTTCGTAAAAGGGATGCAAATTAGACATATCGCAATTGTAAACGAAGCAGGGATTTAAATCCCCCCCGCTTCATTAGCATAAAAATGGCTGCCGCTTTTTTCCAGCTCGGAGCTTTGCTGGAAAAAAGCGCCAGTCTAGGCGCGGATCTTTCGGAAAATAAAGCCTTTTCTGAAAGCTCCTTTACCCCTCATTTTAAGAGGAATAAGGGATCTTTCGGAAAAGGCTTTATTTCCCGAAAGATCCGCGTCTAGACTGGCGCTTTTCTCCGGCAAAGCTCCGAGCCGGAAAAAAGAGGCAGCCATTTTTATGCTAATGAAGCGGGGGGGGATTTAAATCCCCACTTCATTTGCAATTGCAATGTGTCTAATTTGCATCCCTTTTACGAAAAAGGAATGCAGTTTAGACACAGCCTTTTTGTTTTTTGTTACTAGCCATGCCCTTCCCCTACCTGGTTAAAGCCCAAGACTATCTACTGGCAGTTAAACCCAACTATTTCAAACTCTGAATTGATTTAAGCTTACTTTATCTTTGTATGCCCATTTTCTAAACAAATTTTCACCTAGTGGATGTCACATCAGACTGTCCCACTCCTGAGCACAAACAAGGCAATGAACAGAAGCTGGAAATCTGGATCAAAACTACACAGAGTTTGTACTCATTTTTTTTCCAGAGCTCGATCAAGTACCATTCTTAGAGGATATGTTTAGAAGTTGTTACTGAGGCTCATATTTTTGTCACTCCTGTTCTCGTGATTTAGACACCTGGATAGTTTTGTTTTCCACATAGTAATGGCACTAGCTCAATAGCCGTTTCTAATATTTTACTACCAATGGCACTCAGATGCTTTGGTGGTGATCCAGTATGGCTTAAGCATCTGAATACAGAAAGAAATGTAATTAGTCAATTTTTAATGGTAGCAAACCAAGGGTATGTCTACACCAGTGGTCCCCAACGCGGTGCCCGCGGGCGCCATGGCGCCCGCGGGCACCGCGTTGGGGACCACTGGTCTACACTGCCACCCTAGGGTGGCAGTGTAGACCAGTGGTCCCCAACGCGGTGCCCGCGGGCGCCATGGCGCCCGCGGGCACCGCGTTGGGGACCACTGGTCTACACTGCCACCCTAGGGTGGCAGTGTAGACCAGTGGTCCCCAACGCGGTGCCCGCGGGCGCCATGGCGCCCGCGGGCACCGCGTTGGGGACCACTGGTCTACACTGCCACCCTAGGGTGGCAGTGTAGACCAGTGGTCCCCAACGCGGTGCCCGCGGGCGCCATGGCGCCCGCGGGCACCGCGTTGGGGACCACTGGTCTACACTGCCACCCTAGGGTGGCAGTGTAGACCAGTGGTCCCCAACGCGGTGCCCGCGGGCGCCATGGCGCCCGCGGGCACCGCGTTGGGGACCACTGGTCTACACTGCCACCCTAGGGTGGCAGTGTAGACCAGTGGTCCCCAACGCGGTGCCCGCGGGCGCCATGGCGCCCGCGGGCACCGCGTTGGGGACCACTGGTCTACACTGCCACCCTAGGGTGGCAGTGTAGACCAGTGGTCCCCAACGCGGTGCCCGCGGGCGCCATGGCGCCCGCGGGCACCGCGTTGGGGACCACTGGTCTACACTGCCACCCTAGGGTGGCAGTGTAGACATACCCCAAAATATTTACGTTAATTCTGTGTCCTTTGAGCATTATAAAGGGTGAGGGTACTGACTATAAACTGGACCAAAATCAACAAAATAATTAAGTAATACACAAAATTTACCAAATAGAAAAAGCTTTTACCCACAACAAAACTGGATGAGATTCAAACCAGGTACCTAAAAGTGAAGCTTGGATTGCCTGTGTCATCCAAGACCTAGTGCTCGCATTTTTGGAGCTCTACTACCTTGATAAGAGTTTTATAATGGATTAGATTTATGGGGTTTTCACACTCTAAAATAAATAACATACATAACAGCAGGATCTACATTTTATACCAATTTTATGAACCATATTCTTTGTTCTTTTATTTCACACGATTTTTTTGCAACTTGTCATTCAACAAGGGATTTATTATTATTATTTCCCTTTTGTCTAGAGAGACAATGTAGTGTGATGGGACATTGGTTTTGTAGTGATCAAAAATCATCTTCTAGATAGCCATAAAAATTCATTTCAATTTGATCAACCTCAGGCAAAGGTTATCACCTACTCTAGCTTATGCTTATTTTAATAGTAACAAGTGACTTTTTTAATCTTCAGTAATATGAAATTACTGTCATTTGAAAGAAGTGTTTAGGTTCCTTGACCAGAAGAGGCATTTAACTGTGTCATGTGTGATGTATGACACGTTTAATTGCTCTATGCAGCTATTCAAAAAGCATTCAGAAGTAATCATTTAGCATTAATATCCTGGGGCACTTCGAGGTCACAGTACATTAAATACTAATTCAAACTGGTTCAAGAATGCATTTTTCATATAGAGAGTAACATAATTCTTTTAGAATAAAAGTGATAGTGGCTCAGAGACAGGGTGATCTACATATCTATCAGTGGTATTGTTGTAAAAGTAGCAAGTCAGACATTTTTCTCATCATAACTCAAACTTGTGATGAATAAATATAGTCATGTCTAAAATAGCTTCTGTAGCAATTTGTTTTATAATGTATTTTTAACGCAAAACATTTGGTCCATCTTTTGTTATTTTCCTACCGATCAACCTGCCTGTTATCTTTTCCTGGACAGACCATCAACTAGTAATTCTAACTGGTCTGTAGATAGTTGTAGGTGTTGAGTTTCCATACAAAAAAGCACCCCAAAAAATTAAATACTTTTAGCCTAGATTATGGAATATGGCAAGAAAGCATAGATAATTCCTCTGAAGGAGGTAGCGGTGTATGTATGTGTATGTTTTCTCTGTGCATGTTTTCTCTGTGCATAATACATCAATCTCTCTATTTTAAGAATGCCATACACCGACAAATTAAACACCAGGTATATGCATCAGAAAGTGCTGTTCGGTGTAAAATATATTCAGTGCGGCTACTTTATTATCCTTACAATACACAAGGGCTGTGTCTAGACTGGCCAGTTTTTCCGGAAAATCAGCCGCTTTTCCGGAAAAACTTGCCAGCTGTCTACACTGGCCGCTTGAATTTCCGCAAAAGCACTGACTTCCTACTGTAAGAAATCAGTGGAAATACTAGAAATACTATGCTGCTCCCATTTGGGCAAAAGTCCTTTCTGTGCAAAACTTTTGCGCAAAAGGGCCAGTGTAGACAGCTGAGATTAGTTTTGTGCAAAAAAGTCCCGATCGCGAAAATGGCGATCGGGGCTTTTTTGTGCAAAAGCACGTCTAGATTGGCCACAGATGCTTTTCCGCAAAAAGTGCTTTTGCGGAAAAGCGTCCGTGCCAATCTAGAAGCTCTTTTCCGAAAATGCTTTTAACAGAAAACTTTTCCATTAAAAGCATTTCCAGAAAATCATGCAAGTCTAGACGTAGCCAAGAGATGTGCCACCAGATCACAAGTCACGACTAACTGGAAAAAGCAGTGGTGACACTCATCCAAGGATGGCCCATAAACCATACCCCACATGTTGGTTTCACTTGTAGCAGACTGTGGAAATCTTCCCCAGAAAGTTAGGCACTCGGTTGGCAACAGACCCCACACTGACCAACATCAAGGATTGAGCCAGGATTTCCACTACTAAAGGGGTAGGTTTCTACAGTTTGAGCTAAAGAGCTAGCCACTTTGCCTGAGTGCAGTACAGCAAAACTAAATCATAACAGCCACAAGCTACATGCACCAGAGAATTCTATTGTGTGTGCGCTAATAATGCTCTTTAGTGTAACAGACTTCCATCATCTATGACTCAGGCACATGGTACAACACAATGCACATTGACCAGTCACAGCTCCTAGTGGTCCATTCCTTCCTTCTCAGTGAGATTTGGTTAATGCTTCGGTTCTCGGTGAGGTTAAGGCATAGGGCACAACAGCAGCTATGTTACCAAGCCAATGGCTTCCAGGGTCTGACATCAGAATCTCTATGCTCCTTTTTTAGAAATTGTGTCTAGAACATAAGAAGGTCCATACTGGGTCAGACCAATGGTGCATCTAGCCCAGTATCCTGTCTGCCGATTGTGGCCAATACCAAATGCTCTAGTGGACGGGAACACAACAGGTAATCCTCACGTGATCCCTCTCCTGTCACCCATTTACAGACAAACGGAGGCTAGGGACACCATTCCTACCCATGATGGCTAAGCACCATTGATAGACCTAATCTCGATGAATCTATCTAGCTCTTTTTTGAACCCTGTTAAAGTCCCAGCCTTCATTGCATCCTCTAGCAAGGAGTTCCAAAGGTTCACTGTGCGCTAAGTGAAGAAAAACTTCCTTTTGTTTGTTTTTAACCTGCTGCTTGTTGATTTCATTTGGTGACCCCTAGTCTAGCCCTCATGGTTACAAAATAACAGGCTTGCTGATGGGGCGGGGAGGGGAAGGACCAGTTGCTCTAGGGCCCAGTGATTCAAAGGGACCAAGGGCTCCCCACCACCACTGCTGCTACAGTGGCAACAGCAGTGGCTCTTTAGATTGTGCTCCAGGTGGTTCTGTGAGAGGGGGCACAACACTCCAGGCAGAGTGAAGGACTAGCTGCTGCTTGCCCCCATCTGTTGGGATATGTAAAAATTAATAGGTCTGAAATGGCTCTACATTAGTTGTTCAGAGGTCAGCCACAGCATTACCCTGTAAACATGCTTTTTCCTTTTGTTTTGTAGTTTGGGAAGGTAGATTAAGGGTCCAGTTGAGACCAGTATTATCCTTTGATGTATAAACATGCTCTCTCTCTGTTCTGTAGCCTAGGAAACCAGGTAAGTATGGAGTTGCTCTATTTCGTTATGTCTCTTGCTTATGTTATCCAGAGCCAATCAAGATATCTTCATGGTCAAATTCCTTGTAATCTCTGTAACCTGTTAGTTTGTAGCACAGGAGTGTGTTGATTTAATTAGAAATTCTGTAAATAGTAATTCGGGGCGGGTATCATTGTATTCATTAATTGCTTATTAATATTCATTTTATGGGAGTTAACATTACTAAATAAGGCTTTAGGAAAAGTAGTGATAGACATGTGAATTAACATACTAAAACACATAAAAGGATGTAATCGGCACCAGGTTGTTGCCACTCGGACATTGTGTTGAATGTCCAAGGTAAACGTGTGTGGGCAATAAAGCAGTTCCTTTTACCCCATCTGCTCCTGGGTTGCCTGTTTCTCCTCTAACACCATCCCTTCTGGGAAAGCAGAGGTAGGCCCCGCCCACTTTGCCCAGGGGACCGTGGAGGCAGTTGGTTCCCCTGCGAAGAAATGCTTGAAAATATGAACCCAGTGTAACCAATGAAGTGATGTCGGCTTCTGTCAAGTCAGCACACAGCATCCAGCAGAGGAAGGAGCAGCAGACTTCAGAAGTGGGGATGAAGCTGCCAGTCCTCTCACACAGCACATGCCTGGTTTTTGCTGCTATTGCAGTGGGACTAGCCAGTCAGGAGCTTTGAATCCCTCATTGCAAGGACTTAAATGTACCCTAGAACCAGGGATCCAGGGCCCCCATGGGGGCACAAACAGGTTAACTGGGACCCAGAAATCTGAAGCCCCACATCAGGGGCTGGGGCAAAAACCTGAGCAATGTTGATTTGTGAGGAATTCTGTGGAATATGGCTCCAGGCGACTGCTTTGCTTGCTACCCCCTTGTGATGGCCTGAGATTTTACATACAGAAAAAACACTGTTGTGGCACAGTTGTCCTGTGGTTTTTTTTTTGGGGGGGGGTAAGAGGGGGCAGAAAGGAAAAGGTTGAGAACCCCTGTCCTAGAGCTCCCCCCCACCTTCACTATTTGGGGGTGGGATGTCCAAAGCTCAGACAGAAACAAAATGATGGTTCCCCTTTCTATTACCCAACCAGTCATGGCATCAAAATGAAACACCACTTACAATAGACTATGCAGATCTGCGTCCTCCCCTCTTTACTTTCATGAGCAGTAAAATAGTAAACAGTGTAGGCATGTACTGGCATCTGAGATACCTAGGGAATGGAGCAGTTTGTCTCTCTCTGAGCTAACATTTCCAACACCCCGGCACCGGGTTACTCATTTCACATTGTTAAGGTTCTCTCTGCAACTATAACAGCTAAAGACTGAACGTAAATAAATAAAGGTCAATGGAAGGGTCTGGAGTACGAGATGGCAGCCTCAAAAAAAATGTCAGGTCACAGACCTGGTGACACAAAACCAGCTCCCCACTCATCTAAGGGCCTAAGAGGGCAACTGCTGTGGCAGCAATGATGGCCAGAGCTGTCATCTCTTTAAATTGCCACTGGAGCCTCATGGGAGCTCTGTACAACCCCAGGCAGTGCACTCTGGACAGCACTAGGCAAATGGGGAGGGGGTAAACCTAGACTGCGAGAATCTATCGGAAAAAGATACGCAAAATGTGCTTTGCATTTTGCTTTTCTTTTTCCGATATTTTTGTTGGAAGAGGCTTTTCCGAAATTTGGCCCATCTAGACTGGGCCAAATTTTGGAAAAAAGCCCTCTTTTGAAAGCCCCCTTCTTCCTCGTGGAACGAGGAATACAAGGGCTTCCAAACGACCGTGTTTGGTTTTCCAGAAGAAAAAAAAAAAAAGAAGAGAAAGCCCCTTCTTCCTTGTGGAACGAGGAATACAAGGGCTTCCAAAAGACCGTGTTTGCTTTTCCAGAAGAAGAAAAAAAAAGCAGAAGAGCAAACGCGTTCCCTGGACACAGCAGAGTATTTTTGGGATACCTCTGGTATCCTGAAAAAACCCCACAGTCTAGCCATACCCAGGGAAGTGTAGTCTACATAGTGCTGAGGGCCAGCTGCCCCAGCTCCACCCCAAGCACCCTTCTGGAAGAGACCCAATTTGGTTGCAAAGCAAATAAAAATTTCCAAAACTATCACTTCCTCACCATGTCTTTTATTACAGAAAAAGAATCATACAAGATTAGGGTTGGAAGAGACCTCAGGAAGTCATCTAGTCCAACTCCCAGCTCAAAGCAGGACCAACCCCAATTAAACCATCCCAGACAGGGCTTTCTGTCAAGCCTGGTCTTAAAAACCTCTAAGGATGGAAATTCCACTACCTCCTTCACTACCCCATTCCAGTCCTTCATCATCCTCCTAGTGAAATAGGTTATTCTTACATAACCAATTCTTTACATCACTACTCTTTCATTAGGGAAAAATTAAAATTTTATGTGAATATCCTCCAAGACCTTGACTAAAAAGGGCAAGGGGTTCTGTGGTCACTTTTCAAGGGAAGAATTGATCTCTTTTTTAAAGTGTTTCTTTTAAAAGTAATGCTTTGAGCTCTGCTACTTGTAAAAACTTGAATGGTTTCAGCTGTCCTAACAAGTCCTTCTGTCAGCACAATGCGAAATAGGTAAATATAACTCATATGAATAAAACACTTTACATATCCATTGGGGCACTCTTAGGGCATGTCTATACAGCAGGGCTTGAGCCAAAATAAGCTACACAACTTGAGCTACATCACTCGTGTAGCTTAAGTCGAAATAGCTTATTTTGGCTTTTGGCGCTGTCTACACAGCAGGTGGTCCGAGGTAGAACACTCTTCCTCTGACTTCCCTTACTCCTTGTAAAATGAGGGTTACAGGAGTCAGAGTAAGAAGTTCTCCAGCTCGCCATAATTTCAACATGAAATGCTGTGTGAAGCCTGGGGCCAGCAGGGAGTCCCCTGCTAACCCCAGGGTCCATGTTGACACTTCCACTTTGAAATGTACAAGATATCCAGCAGGGCTGGGGCACTTGTACATTTCAAAGAGGAAGCACGGCATGGAGCCTGGGGCCAGCGGGGGATTCCCCATTGGCCCTGGGCTCCACACAGCATTTCAATCTTTGAAATGCACAAGTGCCCCTACTGGGGCTCTTGTTCATTTCAAAGGCACTAGTCCTTATCAACTAAACAAATAGTGTAAATCCCATCAACTATTCGATTAGTTAATTAATCAAAATTTAATATCCCTAACGTGTATACATATTTTTTAATTGTATAGATATATATTGCATTTTTGCAATTATACAAAAGGTACAAAGATCACCACCAGGCAGGTCCTTACTGAAGTGTATGAAAAAAATATACTGCCTCTCTCCAATGAACAGTTTGAAGACATCACATAATTTTGATGTTCCCCTTCATTTTAACTTGCCTAGGCACTCAGTGGATTTAAGAGTAGCCATTCTTCTAAAAAGGAATTTCACAAGCCAACTACATTCTTCATGTTCAGAATTGACCTTCATATGCAAATTTGACGCTGTTTCTTAGGGCTTGAACAAAGACTTGAACTAGATGGCCCATTATAAAACCAGCTTTCCATACATTCAACAGCCCCATTTACATCAAAATCTAAATATGGGAGCCTTCCAGTTCATTCAACTAGCCTCATTAGCACTAGCACTACGAATGACAGGTACTTTTTTTCCCCCTCTCCCTTCTTTTTCTGTTATAAATTGTGAGGGTCCCCCCTTTTTTCTCCACACAAGTTCATCCAAAGAAGTGGGTTTTGCCCACAAAAGCTCAGAATACTTATATATATTTGTTTGACTCTAAGGTGCCACGTGACTAAGGTGCCACATTGAATTCAAAATATGTATGATTTAATGAAATATTTCAAAGAATTGAAACATTTCCATTTCTCAGAGTTTCTATTTTGTATGACTTTTTGTGATATTTTTCCTGACAGCACTTCAAAAATGTTTGTATTTACTAAAATCTGATTTTCAGTATGAAATAACATTTTTCGTTAAATAAAAAAAAACAATTATTCCAAAAATGATAAGCAAAAAATTCATTAACAAAAATACAAAATTTAGTAAAAAATTGAAGATTTCAAATAATAGTCCACAATTTTCCTGGAAAGTTACATTTTTGAAAAAGCTTATTATCATACACACACACACACACACACACAGAGCAAAAATGTTGACTAGCTCTAATTAAGCACACACACACACACACACACACACACACACACCAAAAATGTTGACTAGCTCTAATTAAAATACAAGCATAAAATTCTTTAGGATTTTTAAATAGTTTTCAATTTATTTCATGTAATAGTTTAATATATTAGTTTATGTAACTGGGCTTCTGGGGAGTGGAGAGAAGAGAACATCAGGGACTGGAATATTAATAATGATAATATTTCACAATTGTGAAGCTTCTGAACAGGTTACTACCTAATAGAAGGCAAACCATGAGAGTTACAAACAAGGGAAAGAAATGGAGAAGAATGGTTACAAACAGATTATGCAGTTGGGCCCTGGTCCTGCAAATACTTATGTGCATGCTTAACTTTACTACCATCATTTTTTCATTATTAGGCCTTAGACCCTAATAGCTTTGAAACACATAGTTAAACCTAAGTAGGTACTTAAATGGCCTTCCTTGGGTACACTGAGCACCTACACATCCCGGAGTATATTAAGCTGACATTTATTATTGAATTTGAAGGGACATGACCCCCATATACATATTCTTCATAAAATCTGTTTACTGTTAAACAGATTTAAAAATTGGTCTTTTATAAAAATGCCACTTGCTGTACACCTTAATACAAACTTTTCCTAGAATATCACAATCACTGTAGCACCATGGAAAACAAAAATTGTGCCAAAGGAATCAGCATTTCCAGTCACAGAACTTGGACTTGGGGAACCGTGGCATTCTATGGACTCTGACAATAGTCCCCTAGCACTTCTGACAATGGAGCAAGCTTTTAGGCTGATTCTGCTCCAGTTGAACTCCCTGGCAAAGCTTCCACTTGATTTAATAAGAGCAGGCTAATGAATCTTATATGCTTTCTCTACAAGGCAGAATGGTGAGTCAGGTGGTGTGGTGGTGAATGAATTCTAATGGCCTTATCCTCAAGTATGGTGCCTCCTTTCTCCTCTCCAATTCTGGACTCAGCTGGATACTGGTTCAGCTCCCAGCAGGACAACTGGAGATTCCTCATCAACAGGGAACTCCAGCTGCCATGCTAGGACAGCTCTCTATCCCTTTTGCACTGCCAAAGTGGCACAAAAGAGATGGAGGCATGGGTCACAATCTGTCCATATTTACTTAAAATGCAGTTCTATCTTAAAATGTAATTTAATCAAAATGAAACCCTTGGCTCTCCACGTACATTGTGCTTTACATATGTAATTCCTTGTAAAATGTGTTTAGTTTATACATATGTTGTATTTCTAACTGACAGCTCTTCAACTTCAACCTGTATTCAGTCAAGCTGTGTTATTTCTACCCTGTGTATCATCAGCAGTAAAAAACATCCTGCAAGTCCAGCCCTGCCTTTGGCGATCTCTATGCAACCCAATTGGAAGCTACAGAACAAATATATGGAAAGAGAAAGACAAAATATAAAACCCTCTTTTGTCACTTGTATACTGTCTTTCCAAGCCAAAAAAAAAAAATCACATTTTAAGCAAATCCTATCAAAAACATTAATAAATTAATTAAATCTTATTACTAGCCTCCCCACTTTTGAGTCCCAGTGATGGAACAAAGTCCCGCTCAACTGCATTTTAACTCAATGACAGGCAAGATCCACCTTGAAAGTTCAGTAAAATTTAAAAATAAATCCTTAAAGAAAAACAAACAAACAGAAACGGGAAAGGAGTGTAGAAATTGTCCTGTTCAAACTATTATGGATAGCATTCCCAGGCACAATTTTTCGTATGCTTATTAAGTTGCCTACCCAACATTTGGTATTCAGTTCAGGCAGTCCATTGTCAGAAAATACTATACAGATAGTGTGATAAACCTTTTACAGTGTAAAGGCAATGAAGTCAAAGCCTGTTTGCTGCAGCTGGTGTTGCTCACCACAGAGGACAAAATAGATGGGATTAGTTTGGATACACAGCAATTGTCTTTGCATTTATATTGCTCACTGTTTCCAAATGGTAATCTGGGTCCTACTTGCCATGTTTTATAATTAGTTACTAGGCCTTTTCCAATGCGTGACTTTGAACTCACATAATGGAATGGAGCTGGAAGGGAAGAGAATGATGGAAGCCTGTCAGGCCAAAGACTTCCACACAGTTGGAAAGCAAGAGAGGTAACATAGCCCCCTGCAGTCCTTACCATCCACACTTGCCTATTTATCAGGGTCTCTGAATCATAGAACACTAGAACTGGAAGGGACCTCAAGAGATCATCAAGTCCAGTCCCCTGCCCTCGTGGCAGGGGTTTTTTAGCTTTATTTATTTACACACAGAGGAGGTTTCTCTCATGATTTTACAGTGCTGTATATTTTAGGAGGACTGAACAAGAAGGGCATCTGCAGTGCCCATTTTCAACCCTGATACAAAAATGCTTTGCATTGTTGCTAGATAATGCCAGAACAGACTATTGTCACAGAGCACTGGCTGCTGCTCAGTCTCTGGTTTCACAATAAAAGAAGTGTCCCGTTCTAAATCTGCATCTTGCATGAGGGAGCAGCCCTCTCCCAGATTGTGCTGACCTTCAGCCTTTGGAAAGGAAGTGTCTTTACTCATTGCTCTCCCTGCTACCGAGGCTCCATCCCTGATCTCAAGTGATTCTTACACATCCCAAGCTCCTCGCCAGGCCACCTCATGCTCATTCGGTGTAGTGCCCCTGCTTTGATTTCCCAGCGTAGCCTGCCAGGGGTGGAAGGGCTGGGATGACTGATTAGGAAATGAGGCTCACCTGTGCGGATTGAGGCCCACTCAGAAAGCAAGCCAGCTGTTCAACCCTCAGGATTCCAAAGGGGCAGCAGCCCTATAGAATGATCCTACTCACTCCGTGTCCTCTGACTCCCCACCCCTCCTACCATAAGTGCTTCTACATGTGTTGCATTAGCCACTGAGATTTCTGTGTGGAGGAGATGCTAGGGATGGGGATGCATAACAGGGTCTGTGGATCTACCTTGCAGAGAGGCTGAACAGCTACTCAGTGACCCTTGATGTACCCACCTGACTGCCCTCAGAATGATGAAGGCTAAGCACAGCTCCCTTATAGATGCTTCTTAAGCATCTATAGCACTCACAAATCTGGTCTTCAGCTCATGCTAAGCAGCATATAAGTTGTTTTTTCAGAAAGTTTCTTGCACTTCTCAGGAACTACTTTCAATGCTGGCCAGGGGTACTTCCACTGTGCATCACGTGCTAACTTTTCTTTTCACCCACACTTGATAGAATACAGTGATACCCAAAGATGTATTTGATACCTCAGCAGCAAACAGATGAAGTCACTCTCCAATGACCTTACAATTTAGAATGTAAAATATGAATCAGAGGAAGGGAGAGAATCAATAAAAGGTAGGCTAGGGAAGACGTCACATAAATAAGATCCCCGCTTCTGTACATGTTTGGATAACTTTATCAGTTTAATTTAATTAGCTCACTCCTTGCCTATAATGCATTTGACTAGCCTAACTAGAAACTGAATCTGTGTGTCAGAGGGCAACAGTCTATGCATTAATTCACTGCACCTTCCAGCCCCTATATAGATCCTACTTTAAACACAAGAGAACCAAATAAAATTTTCTGTGTTAATAAACACACTCAGGAATTGTATCACAAAAGTAACAGAACAGCAAATTTAATGACTTAATATTGTACAATATAAAATCATTCCAGTTGAATAACTTTTAATTTATTAAAATACAGAGATGTCAATTATGCCTGATTTAGGAGAAGTTCAGCAGTACCAAGGCCCTATGTTTGACTCGTTGCCATGGCATCAAGCTTTTACAAGGACAACTTAAGAATCATTAAAGTGTCAAGGTGACAAGTCTGACAGTGGATTTAACGATGGATGCTAATAATGTTACTTCTTCACTTCATAATCATTTAGGATTCAAGGTAGGTGACAAATTTTATATATTTATCTTTTTTATTTTAGATGTTATAAAAAAGGAAGCCAGCTGAGGCTAGCAGAAGATGCCACAAGACTACTTGTTGAATACAGTATTATTCATCCTACATTTTTCTCCCTCATGTGACCGCCTGATTGTCAGGTTTCCTAATGATTTTAAGTTCCAATTTGTAATCATCTCACACTGCCTTGTGATTTTATCAGAACTTATAGCTAACACAATACTGAGCTTGGCCAAAACTTACTAACAAGGTCTCCTATGAAAGGAAGTGATTTGGTGGTACTCTTTACCCCTGTGAATCAGTAATATCTAACCAATGCCCAGCAAATTGTTAAGGGGACACTGATCTGTGGAACACTGTACACAGGAAATATAACATGAAGTTCTTGACTTGTGTTCACTAAAGATGTCTTGAGAATATGTTCAATATGTAAAAATGGAATTGCATCCCAGCTGACAATAAGCACCACAAACTTGTTTCTCACAGGTCATAGAAGAATCTTTGGCTGATAACATCTTCCAGTCAGTTGTATAGACCTGTGCCTGATTCAGGCCAATAACTCAGAATTACCCAATGCCTAAATGAGCACTATCTGGGTGAAACTCGTTACAAGTCTGTTGGTGGCTGTGCAATTCAGTGCATGCATAAGTTTTAAGGAAGCATGCACAAGAACAGCTGTGACACCCCTTTAAAAGGCACATCTGTCAATTCGTCCATCTGCTTCCCCTAGCCCTACCAATATTATCTTAGTCTTCTGTGGAATGAATCTCAGCCAACTATTGCTCATGCAGGCCCCAAGATCATGAAAGACAGGTTAATCATGCCACTGTTACAGTCACACATGCTGGAGACGTGGAATCGTGTGTCACCAGCATATTGAAAACTCTGCAGCCCTTGTCTTCCATAGCCCTTCTAGCAGTTTCGTGAAAACATTGAACATGTGCATGGGCACCATTTAGGGATGTCAGCTGGATCCTTTCCCATCCCTGTGCATCACGCCATGTGTTAATTTTAGGACTGATATGTGCGTCTCACTACTACCGTGCGAGAGCTCAGCCCCAACCTTGGCAGAGGGAAACTAACATTGAATGACCGAAGGCAGGAGAAGAAGAAGCAGGAGTGGGGGAGACAGGAGCTCATGAACACTGGAGACAGAGGCCAGATCCTGTAGCCTCCTGAAAAGGGAGGTCAATAGTAAAGGGGACAGGACCCCAAAAGACCCTGAGGCAGCTTCACTGTGTGGTAACAGGTTTTTCTGTCCCATAATCTGAGCCTCTCACCATTGTCATCACCAGTCTACCCCTATGTCACATGGAAACCAGAAACCCACGTCATTTGTCAGGACCCTTACCACTGGAAACAATTCCACACTATACAGTGAGAAACTAAATGGAGTCCTATAGGAACTATGCCCTTGGATGACTGTGGAAGAGCAGGAAACTACTCTCCTTACAGTCTAAGTGGCCCCTGAGCCTAAGTTGCCCTCTCCTGAATAAAATCTGAAATAGCGCCACTGAATAAGAGAGGCAACACTATCAACCTATGTGGTTCTCACCCCAACACCACTTGGGACAGAGGAACCATGATGTACAGATACCAGTTCTCAAAAAGATATAAACAGGGATTCAAAAGCAGTTCTGTGCTACTCCTGCTGGAGCCAGAAGTGACCCAACAAAATACAACAGCAGATGTGTGACCTCAAAGAGTCAGCATGGACACTTTATCTATTAGTGCTACCAATTCAGTTTCTACCCTGTGCCTAGGTCTATAATCATACCAAGGAAATCTGGAGAATTAAGAAACTGTCAGAGTTGCTGTGCCACAACCTACAAATTACCAACATCAAGAGATGGTTTTCTGAGCATGAGTCTCAAAAAGTTCTTAAAAATCTACTAGAGCTCTGCCTCAAAGGGAAACACTGACTATCTGGACCAGAAATGAACTCTCTGCCTCCAACTGGCCTTCAACAGCCAGGAAGTACAAGAGTCCAATGTGCAGAGTGCAGCATTAAACTGCCCCAGCACCTCCCTACCTTTTATGAGCGATACTAGCTGAAACTCAACAAGACCACATATCCCCAACACTTCCACTTAAGGCTGAAATTCTGGTCCCATCTAAGTCTATGACAAAACTCCCATTGACTTCATTCAGTGGCATCAGAATTTCACCAAGAGTATTTAGTGCACTAAAGCTCTCCTCTCACATTCACAGAGCATAAATTGTTTGCCCCCTGCACAAGCCTACTAGTTCTCTATGCCTGTTACTTCATTGAGCACCTGAAGAAAAAAAGCTAGGATCTTGCCCAGCTGCATTTTAATGGGATAGTCATGACTTGATCAGGCTTCAGCAGTTACTAATAGTAGAGACACAAAATGACGAATGAAAAAATTCAAAACTAAGATTCACATCCTAAACTCAGCCTATTATGCTCAGTTAGTATAAAAATAACAGTGATGCAATGTGTCTCGCACTGCATTCAGGTCACAAGAAATGGCTACAAAGGCCAGAGTGTCCATGCTAACTTTTGAATTCCTGGCATTTCTTCCCCATCGTGCATGTAATCAGTCCCCTTCTGAAGTGTGCATTAAACTTCTTACAGCAGCTTGCATTGACAAAGTTGTATACATTTCCATTGAAAAGATTTTTCTTATCTCTGTTTATAGGGTATTCATTGTTTGACTCTGTATTCACACAGACTCTCAAATAGCCAATGAACTAGAGTTCTAGCAGGGTTTTCGTCTCACTACAGCATAAAAATTGCCAGATATTTCAAGCATGCTTGGCCGAAATCAAGGGGTTTAACCATAATTTTGGTGTATTCCACTTATCACATCCCTTCAGAAATATATACACCTTTCATGCTGGCCATGTATTTGGCTCCAGATTAAGTCATGCCCTTTGAAAGGTATTTTGCAATCTAAGCCCTCTCTGTAAATATCATGTTAAAAATCACCAGCCATATTCTTCACTATGAGGCAAGGGGAGTGGAGTTTGAGGAAGTACCTCTCATAAATTTGGTTACGTGTTTTTAATTAATTTGAACTTTTAAATTAATTTACTTTGGCACTTTTGGCATAGGGGACTGTACTTGACCTCTCTAGGTTCCTTCCAGTTCTAGTATTCCATGATTTGCATTTTTTCTCTATTCGTTTTCAAACATCTGAGCAACCAAATTTATTAGCACAAATATTTTCCAGTTTAGAACTTCAAACTCCAAGGACAATTATTTGTGCCAAAAGTGCTTATTTGCTCACCAAGTCAATGTACAGAAACAATGTAATTTAGGGCAGAGGTGAAAGTAAGCAGATGCACCCTGGTATGCAGATCAGGCAAGAACTGTCTGAGTTGCGGCAAAAGCCTGCAGGTAACTATTTAAAGAGCTGGCAGGGACCTGAGTTGCAATAGGATAGTACCTGTAGGTAATTTTATGTTACTTTCAACCTCTGATTTAGGATCATGTGATTTATGACCTATCACAACAAATTACTACAACTCAAATTCTGAATACTCAGTTAAATCACAATATACCAGAAATTTGGTTAGAGAATAAGTCTGAGGAAATAGCAGTTGTCTCCTAGATGTTCAGTGAACAGAAAGAGAAGCCAAATCTATTGAACAAATTGTTTAAGAGTTATTTGCTCACCTCTACCTATCACCATCTTTGCCAAAAGCCTTCAATGGCATTCAGAGCTACTAGATCAGCACTAAACGCATGCTTCATAGTGTAATGACTGGAAGAGAAGTAATAAAAATGTACTCATTTCTGTCAAAACTAATCTGTTAATAGGAAAGTTTGTGGCAAGTATCCTGTAATTCATTTCTGTGGGGAAATGGATTCCCCATTTAGAGAAAACGGAGCTGTTTTTTTCTTAAGCAGTGAGATGCCTATTGTGCAGGTAATTACAAGAAGGCCTATGTTGACCTGGCAATGAGGTAGTGTATCTAAATACCTGAAGAGAAGGAGAAAAAACAGAAATGAAAGCTGAGGCCCCATCTGTTAGGCTGTAATGATTGTGCTATTTGAAGGCAGAAAGGTTTGTCTGAAGCAGCTGGTTTCTCTCCAAGTGACCTTTTAGCATTTCTGCTTTTGCCGTCTGACAGATGTGTCAACTCAATAATTTCAAAAGCCCCTGAGTAAATAACCAATTGTGAGCAAGGATGACCCAAAGCGATGACAAAATGGGTGCACACAGCACATTATAGAACATAATACCTATTGAAAGAACTAGGAACATTATCGAAGGGGAAAAAACATTTTACTCTTTATTCTTGAGTAAATGATTTTCCTGCCCACAGATCAGTTGTTTTCAGGGGAAAAAGGGATTGTGAAATGAATGGAAGGATATTGTGATGTGTTTGCCCTTGGAACACTTCTGTAACCTGGTTGCAGGACTCAGGTGGTGTCTCAGAGCTCAAAATGGACTCCTGCTCCCTCACTCAGCTCACAGCTGGGAAGAAAGACTGAAGGCCAAAGCTAATTGGCTTGGTGAATGATTGGGGAACTGCAGAGAAGTGATTGCAATCAGACCAGGTCTGATAGAGTTTAAAGTCTTCTGAAGAGTTTTCAAAAAAGTGATGCAGATGCTGCTTTTAACTCTAACTTGAAGGTGAATGTCAAAGCAATATTGAGACTACTGAGCGTGCTCTGTTTTGATAATGCACCAGAGATTCTGCTTTCGATTCACACCATTATATTCTTCATCTTCCACAGTGCTGGAGAGTGCGCTCAGATAAGAGCCACATCTACTAAGTTTAGCCATATTTAGCACCGTTCCATTTAAAATTGAAAGGGGCACACAGCCACATGCCAATTTCCAAATCAGCCTGTACATCACTGACAGAGCAATATTACAAAGAGAGAATTACAGCAATGTCAGTTCCTGCTGGAAATGTACCCAGTTCCATTTACTCTTTCATCGTGACGTGACAAAAGTGTTAGCCAAACAAATGTTTTCTCTGTACCATTGTTACCAGTTAGAAAGTGT